TTTGCTGTTAGAAACATTATGTATTCTGTTTTTACTAGCAAATAAGCTCAGATAATAATTTCACATTCACAATTTTATTGTCTTGTGGGAGGTTATATCCTCACAACACACAGCAAATCTGGTTAGCACCTTGCAACTGCCAGACACTCTCGCCTAACACTTGTTGATGCACAAAATTTGGAGATCATGCAGAAATGTATGCTTTATTTAATCTTCGACACAAAAATTGTTTTACTTTGTGTCCCCAGGTGACCCCGCAATTGAGATGCTTAGGAATGTTGTACGGTCAGAAGTGGAAAGTCTTCGGACAAACATTATGAATGAAATTCAAGGTCCCTTTAAGCAGGCTTTGAAAGAGAAAATTAAATCTATGAAGAAAGAAATATTGACCTCTATGGAAGCAGCCCTAGAGGCCACAAAGAACGACATTATCAAACAAGTTGATGAAATATTGGAGGAGAAAGTAGGAGAACAGGTGAAAGCAGTGAAGAGTATTAAAACTGACCAAACCAAACGTAATGTAAAGAAAAGGGATGGAGAATCTGAGGAGGTCAGTATGCATATGCTTTTACTTTTAAGGCGTTTTTACCTATACCATCATTTTTTTCTATAAACTTCTACTTTCCATAGGATAATTCAAGTGACAACAACTATGATGATGACAACCTTTCTGATGTGGAGGTATTTTTTTAAAACAACATTATTGAAATATTTTATAAGTGTGAAAAAATGGATCATATTTTTATTTTTCCTTGTCACAGGAGAAAATTTGGGGTAAATCCTTTTCCTCATCGAAGAAGTCATGTTCAAAGGAAAACAAGGACAATGACGATGAAGAAATGGATGAGAATGACTCAGAGGTCTATTGCCTACTTATCTCTAAACATGAAGTCAACAATTGCATGTTAAACAAACTAATTTATTATCTTCTTTCAGGAACAGGCACCAAAGAAAAGGGGAAGGAAGAAAGGTTCCAAAAACAAGGGTAAATCGAAATTACAATTACAACAAGAAATAGCCAAACTTCAAAAAGCTTCTCGTGGAAATAAGAAGTAAGTTTGTTTTGTGCGCAACCTGCCAACACTTAAGGGACATCTCTTTATTTTTACTTTTAATACGCTTGACAATTTCCCAACCTGGCTTCAGACAGTCAGACAGAGTAATTTAAACAACTTTGCTTGCCTACCTGCCTTCAGTCCAGGAAGAAAATTTCTTTATTATTTTTTTTGTAATGTGCTTTTTAACAATTGTTTATTCCCATGACTGGAAAGGAAAAACTTGTTTGTAAAGTGAATAAAGATACCGTTTGCTTGTTTCAAATCACCAAATCACTACTTTCCTTTATTGATTCCCAAAACTTGTCTCAAGTAGGAAGAAAATCTCTTCACTTTTTTTGTAATGTGCTTGAGTAATTTAAATCATCACTTTGCTTGGCTACATGCCTTCAGTGCATTTTTATTTGTAACATGCTTTTTAACAATTGATCATTCCTAAGACTAAAAGGAAAAACTTGTTTGTAAAGTGAATAAAGATACTGTTTGCTTGTCTCAAATCACTACTTTCCTTTATTGATTCCCAAAACTTGTCTCAAGTAGGCAATACATATTTTACTGCATAACATTCAGCAGCATTAGGCTTTTGCATCACAACATAAAAGTAAGTGCCACAAGTGGTGACAAACTATTTAATGACAGGTTTGTGTAAACACTTAAATGGCAAGTAATGAAACCAAAAGGCCGCAGTACCACAGGTTTTGCATCGAAAGTTAACAGAGTACATGAGATAAGTGCAACTACTTGATGAGTCTTTGCCTCACTTCGCTGGATCTGGACTAGCAAATAAAATAAAATTGAGTTGAAGGCAAAATATTTATTATTCCTGGTGAAACATGCTAAAGGGTCATTCAAGAATGCAATTCAAGAAGTCCTAGAATAACTCTCAGGACAAATTATTACATGTATTCGTAGGAGTAAGAATTTAATGGAGACACCGATATGAAGAATGCCACTTATTCAGTGTAGATACAAATAAAACCACATACCCATAATTTTCATGTAATCTTCAGACAAGGGATGAAAAAATAAAATGTTTAATACATACAAAATAGAAATTAAAACCATATTTTCTTAGGCTAAAATATCAAGATTAAAATAAGAACGGGTTTCAAGTAAAATAGTAACGTTATAAAATTGAAGGATTGGGTTGAATTAGCATAAACATAATTTTTATAACAGTAAAATCATAGAAACTTTCCATTGGTTTGACTAGGTGCAAAATTCAATTTGCTTGGAACACGATGACTCACTTCAATTTGGGTTTCATGGTCGAACTTACACAGATAAGAGAAGGATGATTGAAATGATTTGGATACAGAAAGACAAGGAGGGATTTCGAAGTAATAGGATTTAGGATTTGGTCAACCCAGTGTGCACTCTCCTTTGTTTGAATAAAACTAGTGTTTGTTGAGTATAAGCATTAAAACAATGGATCAGTAGCCAGGGATTACATGATAAAAAGCACTCCAAAAAATAGAATCACATAGGTTTAGACAGGGTCATAGTACACCTGAAACAAGTAAATAAATACACAGATCACAACAGTTGCATTTAACAAGATCCTACAAGTGCTCATATATCAAACCAAATTGAATAAAGCAGCATTGTGAAAAATCTGTTATTATGAAAGATGAAAGTGAACAAATTTATGGAAATGGATAATAAATACTTACAAGGTAGAGGGTGCATTTGATGGTACATAAACAAACCCACTAATTTCCTTCTACTGCATTTCTGTATGCAGTGTCAAAGGTATGGGATGCTGCATGTATGTATCGAAGAATTGCTTGATCCAGGTTTCCAGGAGGATTGTTCAGGGTTTCAGCCAGGTTTCTCAAGCGGCGGTCTAAAATGATTGATTTCAGTTTACGCCTCCGATTAGGCTGCTCTCCAAGTTCTAAGGCCTCTACGTCAGCAAGGGCATTTTCTTCCATTGACGCCAAGGCACCTACAATAGAAAGTGGGGAAAAATCGTATTAAAACCCAGCAACATCAAGAAAAACTGAAACATAAATTAGGAAAATAAGTTTGAGCTCACTTATAAAGTTGTAAGTATTGGGATGAGGCACACAGGCAAAGTTTCCAAGCATTTTATTGTGGCTTTCACAAGTGTTGTTGGTGCGGTGGATGGATCCATAAACACACATCCATGGCCTCTTAACAGGGTGAGCTACCCAGCTTCGCAGAAGGTACGCCAAGAATGGCCTCATTCTCCCATAAACTCGACCTCCATGCTGCCGTGTTTCTTGCACCAACAGGTTGTAACCTCTGCGAATGAATCGCCGTGGAAGGAGAGCCAAGGAACAATAAGACTTCATGAGCTCGGAGTAAGGTTCTCTCCTCAAGAGAAGGGCCATGTTCAACTCTTCTTTTGCATAACTAATCAATGCCTAAAAAAAACACACATTTTAAGCACAAAATGTAGCAAAAATGTAGCAACATAGAATCAAATTTGAAGAGGCACAGAACACTCACACGAACAAAATGAAAAAAGCATCCTTGGAGATGGACGTCAGGAAAAATATTAGACCATGCTCTCCGCATTCCTGGTTCAAAGTCTGTTATGATTCTCCTAAGATTTGGTGCATTCCTTAGAATCAAACGCAGAATTCTCAATACCGACTCATAGGCTGGAGTAGTGCGGCGCTGCATTACAGCCCATCCCAGAGGTATGATGGTGTGATTCCAATTACCAACCAATGCAAAAACCTGTACAAAAGTATAATTATGTTTCCAGCTATTAAAATAATAGTAAAATAGCAAAAATATTCAAATATTTTAAATAATTACCTGAGAGGCTCTATTGAGCCCTTCGATGGATGGCAAGGATTTAAAAGTTCCATCAGCAAACAAAGTATGCATTGAGCGAGCAACATTTGCCATTCGCCTTGTCATAAATAGTACACTGTGAGAACCATCCCTGGCTGTGACACTTGCAGCATAAAGACTATCTTCGGCATCATGAGTTGCAGTCATGACCGCATACAATGGGTTTTGCAGAATTCTAGTGAGTTCCTCAAGAGAGGCTGGCACAGGGGGGAACCTTCTATACCTCACACGTTGCATTGATGATCGAATGTGAGACATCCTCAATAAAGCTTGCACTCGAAGTGGGAATCTGAAAATATCAATCACAATTATTAGCAAAGCCACAGAGGGCTTGCATTCTAACTTGTAGGCCTACAAAACTGAAGGAGTGGGAGCACTTTACCCTCTGCTTTCTTCCACAATAATCTGTCTGAAAGAAACAAACTCAAGCCTTCTGCATCTTTGCAAAATATTTCTGCGCAATCTCATGTATGGAACATAAAGTCTGTTTCGGGGATGATCGTGCCTCTTCGTATGAATAAAGCCGCGTCTTCTGTCATACAGAGCTCTTCCAGGACAACCTCGCTCATAACGGACACACTTCAGGTAAATAACTCCCTTCTTGATACAGTTCTTATTGTAATGCCAGCCATCATTTACATGGTAAAATTTAGAATTGGGCTGAGTGCCCCTACCCACATGAATTTGTCTAACATGTACCATCGTCCCTAGCACAATCTCAAATTAAAGTTTTGACTTCTGAGCCCGAAACTAAGCAAAGATGGTAAAGATGCGAGGTGCGGGGGGCTAGGCCGGATGCTGTGCTGAAGAACTGGAGGGAAGCCAACGCCAACCTCAAAACAGAAAACAAATGTTGAAATCGGAAACAAACATGAAATGACGGGTATGTAGAGTGCTTAAATCAATTTCCAAAATTAATTTTATAATTTGATGATACTGACATATTTTTTAAAACAGAACAAAATAAATGCTAACGCGGTTGAACTTCTTCGACAATAGTTGGCTATCCTACCACATTGCGCATGCGCATCACGCAACACGCAGCGCATCGCAACTTCTCGGCATGTTCAAACATGCTAACAGCTAACCGTTCAGGAAACAAAGTAACCTGCTAATTTCTGTACTGCGTAGTTAAAATCAAAAATAAATTAATGGACTAAGGCCGCCTTAGTAAGGCGTGCACAACGTTCTTAGCTATCTATTTGGAACCGCAAGGATCTGGATTGCTACGAGAGATATACTGATGAGGTGAGTTGAGTTCCACCACCCCCAAACTTTTCTTTTGAAAGCAGCCCGTGTTTGGACTCTTCTAATGTTTTGAATTATTTCAGTATATTGTCCCTCATTTCATTGTGCCATATTCGGTGATTGGCAACCGGCAATGTTCCACTCTGCAACTGTTGAGGTTAAGAAGGGCGATCCGACAGCTTTCGTCCCTACTGCTGGCCGTTTCATAGTTTGAAACACCATCATCGATACTTTAAAACGTCCAAAGCTAAGTATCCGCTCAATATTTAACTCTCCTTACACTGCTTCCATTCATTCCCTTCAACTTTCGTTCTGACTCTTCTTGATTTACTTTGCCCTCTTTGAATCAGCCGAGTGACTGTCTGTACTCTCCTTACCTTTCACCTCCCCATGTTGTCTTGCTATAAACTTTCTCTTTATTTATAAACTTGTCACTGAACTTACCATGTGAGCTATTGTCTCTTTGAATTGGCTTATTATGAGCCTGTGTCTTTGGTGGATTGTAACGTATGTGTGTATTGAGTGCTTGTTCCGCTACTGCTGTCTTCCTGGTTCTGAGTGTGTCAGTGGGAATTTTTAACTAATCGTTGCCGTGCATGTGTGTATATTTTTTCTGAAATGTGTTCCTTTGTTCTGGTTTCGATGTTGAGTTTGACTTGTACATTGTAATGTCATCATTGGTCTGATTATTTGTTTGTATGTGTCTTTGTTGATCTGTCTCGTGATTTGTGTGCCTGTGCCGCTATTTTTACTGCACGTTTTCCTTGTTGACTGTGTCAATATTCTGCTTGTTCTGTTTCTGTTTAACATTGTTGTCATTTTTTTCTAAATTTGATTTGTGTTTGTCAATTTTTAACAATTTTTTTTTTGCCTATCTGATCCTGCATTTGACTACGCCGTTGCCCTGAACTGTCATCTTTGAAACTGCTTGTGATCATGTCAAGTACAAAGTGCGAATGCCACCCCCCTTGAAAAGGTTAACAGTGTCTGTTTCTATTTCTTTATATTTGAATCTTGTTCTTTGCCCTGGTTTGGTTTAACTTTGTGAGAGTTTGTTGATATCTTGAATGCCATTTATAATTTGCTTGTATGTCTATGCTGAGTCTTATTCTTGTTGTGCTTGGTTTTTTTCTTGATATTGCTAGATTGTGTTCCTTCGCCTTATGTGATTGAGTAATTTATGCCCTTTTTAAGAGATACCAGATTGCTACTATCATTGAACTGTGCTTCGGCTTGCTCCAAGTTTGATATTGGTTTTCTGTCTCTCTTCAGCTGACTTGTTTAATCATTCTGTGTCCTCTTGTCTTAGTGTAATGTGTGTGATTGTTGATCGTTTTTGCCTTAAAAAATTGTTTGTCTTGCCTTTGCCGTATAGGTGGGACTTATCATGCATCTGTCATTGCTTTGTGGTGGTATTTTGTTTACCTGAAAGTGTAACTTAATTGTTTTTGTCTTCAACTTTATCACTCTGCACCTGTTCTAATTTTATCTTTTTATTATCGATAACTTCCCACTTTAGTCCATCATGAAAATTGTTCTTGTCACTTTTAACTCTTGTTTGTTTTGATTTTTCTAGCTGTCACTACCTGTATCGAAAGAAACACCTGAAGGATGGTTGCTGTCGGTGCTGAAGGATGAGATAGGAACTGATGGCTGTGTAGGAGTAGAATCTTACAGACTCTATGTAGAAGCAGTGCCATGTTCAGCAGAAGTTTAACTTTCAACTCCATTCCCTTGTAAGTATTGTGTATCTTATCTTATAAGCTGCAATAGAAGTTGTGTAAAACAAGAGGCTGTTCCCACCCAAATGCAGTCACTGTTGGAATCTGTCCTGTCTCTAGAAACGTTTTGTAATGTAACACATGTTTTTGGACTTATTGATTATTCCTTTTTTGTCCATGTTATGTTCTCTAGTGGGAGATTGGGAAGATTAACAGAGCACACTGTCATTACAACAATAAAGAAAGAGATATTTAAACTGTGGCTTAGTTTCCCGTTCTTTTTCTTAAATAATGCGCAGGCTTGCAGTAAAGTCATTTCAACTGAAGAAAGTCATGTAAATGAACTGCTGGTATCAAAATTCAGTGTATTTCTCATTTGATAGGCACTCTTTGAGGTGCAGTTACTTAAAAAGGACACTTATCCAGGTGGCGATTTGCTAAAGCCCAATCAAAGCACCTATTTGCTTTGGATGATGGCTGCATAGTTAAAATGTCTGCCAGATTGTACTGGATTGTTTTACCAATCCCACCTATCCCAGATTTATTAAGGAGTACAAAGACTTTCATCATGTAATTGCCTGTCGTTTTGTGAAATGCAATTTGAGTAATGTGAATTTCATCTGCCTACATATTTCCTTTATCTCTACCCTGCCATTTTCTTAAAGAAGTATATTCATGCTGTTCATAAATTTGCAACCTCTGTAACCAATTTTAAAATAATTGGAGAGTGGACACCTGAAAAGCAGCCTCAAAATGCAAGTTTGGATGTGATGTTTTTATGTGTGTGAGAATCAGGTTGGCATTACCGAATGGATGAATTGTTGTCATGACCAGAAACATCCATATTCTGTACTGCCTAAACAGTTAGTTTGAGCTTCTACATGTGAAAAGTTTTTTCTAAAATTTACAATAGGGACTCATTCCTTCCTGTAAGGAACTGCTGGAGAGGTGAAACTAAGGATAAGTGCAGTGGGTTTGGAGAATTTTGTCACCAAGTTCTTTGGTTAAGGTCTGCATCAAAATCAGTATTTTTTGGTTCAGGGACGAATTTGACACAGAATTTTAAACAAATTGCTGTTTCAGGAACGCGTTTTATCGTCCTTAACAGCAGGAGGATGTGATTTTTTTCCTATTTCTACTTCAGACGATAGGGTTTGTCACCTAAGGTTCTGCGACATGCCTCGCTACAGGAGGGGTGGTGTTCGTCGTAGGTTCAAGAGACCTGCAAAGGGCACACGGCATTATGGAAGTCAAGCCCGCAAGGTTACATGTTATACATCTGCTGCTTGTGTCACTTTACTGCCATGGGTTTGTGTAAAGATAACACGTTTGCTTTGTGTTTGCTAGCCGGCTGCTGCAGGTCCGTCTATGATGATAGGTGAGAGGCCTCAGCAGGAAGCAGCCCTCTATGATGCTGGTGAGAAACAGGATGGTGTCTTTTTGGGATTTGATACTACCACTTGTGCTCATCCCATCAGAGTGCTTTCTCTATTTGACGGAATAAGTTCAGGTACAGTATTCCTATATCATGTTTCTGAATGAAATTTGTAAATGTTGTTTACAAATCACAATTTGCAGATTTTGTTTTGTAAAACAGTGTTATGCCCATTTACAATACACATTTCATTATCATCTTACAGGACTTTTGGCGCTTGACTCTCTAGGAATAACAGTCAATGAATACTTCTCAGCCGAGATTGACAAGGATGCAATTGCCATTCAAAGAAAAAGATTTTACGGCCGAATCACTGAGATCGGCAGCGTAGAAGCCTGTACTGTGGAGCTCCTGGACCAAATTGCTCCAATACATCTTTTGATTGGGGGTTCGCCTTGCAATCAGCTTTCAAAAGTCAATCCAAAACGGAAGCTATTTGGTATAAAAAAGATGCCCCCCCCTTTTTTTTAGATGTTGGTTTAAGAAATGTATTGTAAAATACTCTACTTTGTTTTTAGCACAAGGTTCAAGTGGAAGGCTGTTCTTCACATACATTGATATTATGAATTATTTAAAACAAAAGGCAACAGAAAATAATCATCATTTTTTCTACTTGTATGAGAATACATCAAATTTGGACAGTTCTACCCTCCTCACAATGACAGAGTAAGTTTCTTTAAAAAAATGAACTAAAATTTCACTTATTTCTATCTTTTCTAAGTATCTCACCAATCAATAATAAATTTCTTTTAGGAAATTCAATGCAGAGCCCCAGGTGGTAGATGCTCTCAGCTTTGTTCCAATGAGAAGAAAAAGGCTTTTCTGGCACAATTTAGGTAAAAGTGATGTAGACGTGGCTTCTATGGAAGTCCCACCATTGGAAGATTTCCTGGATCCTGGCCGAAGAGCAACTGTCAACATGCTATGCACAATCACAACCAATAGTGCATCCCAGAAGAATAATGATAAATATCCCGTTGTCAATTTTGATGGTGAAGAATGTATCTTAAATGTAAATGAACTGGAAAGATTATTCCATTTTGGTGAGGGTTTTACTGATAATGGTAACTTGTCAATTTCGAGACGGAAGAAACTTATAGGTAAGTCATGGGTTGTTCCCGTGATTGCTTATCTATTAAACCCTTTACTTAAGGAGCTACAAGTTTAAATGTCAAAGTTGAGAGACATTATAAAATGGGTATGGTTTCTGTTTCTTTTTTGCCATACCAGTCTTTGCCTTGAATAAGAATGACAATGAGGCAGTTACCTTTATTAAGTGCCATACCCTGAATCATCTGCCGATTGCTGACACCTCATTTCTCTTTGCAATGCCCTTTACTACCCGTAGATAATAGGGATAGGAATTGTGAAAAAAATTTAGTAGTATTTCTAAAATAATGGAAAGTTTCAGACAGTTGGAAAATTTACTTCTAGAGATAAAAATTAATTTGGCCTTTTTCTAAGCCCAAGTTAAGGATTGAAGTTTCTGTTTTGTTCAGTTTGTCACTTAGTAACTGCTTATAAACTGCATGACTATGAGACTTGATGTGTACATTCTAGCTTGTTCTTCTTAACCCATGGAATATAGTGTAAAGGTCCATTGTCAAAAGGAGCTACCTGTTTCATTGGCATCTTGAAGTGTAAAACATCTAGAAGTATATTTCATATGCTGATAACATCAAGCAAAAGTCATGTCATATAAAATGCATTGAAAAATTGTTTCCTTTGACTCACCTCAAAAGTAACTTCTTATGTAATTAAATTCAGTCCATTAAGGGCTTTCCCCACTGGTAAGGCATTGACAATTTTCACCTTTCAAAAAATTTTGCTGCTGCTATGTTAGTCAGTTCCCCTCTTTTGTTTGATTTTTTTATGCTCATACAATGTTTCTTAACTGTGAGTTGCTGCTGTTATTGTGCTGTTCCCTGCCTCTGGGCACATTTTTTTATGCTTTTTATTAAGATATAAGTTATGATTCAGTGGTGCTGCTTTGCTGCAGTTCTCTACCTTTCTTTTCTTTGTTTTTAAATCAGTATTTGACATGTTTGCCTCTTTCATAACTGTTGTAAAATTTTCTCAATAAGGTGTTGAAGAATTGTCATTGTCAATGTGGTAATTTGATTAAAAGAGACACAAACACACAACTTTCTTTTAAGTGAAAATGTTATCCTTGAATTCCTGGTGTATGAGTATACTAGAAAATGCTGCATGGTGCCTTTGCAGCCTGTGTTGGTCAAAGCAAATTAACCATCTCATATGCTCAGCATGACAATTTTCTAAAGGCAGTTAAAATGAACTTTATTTTCCTTAGTATGCTAAATTGGGCTACGCCACCTCTGCTGGTAGGAGTATAAGCTTGAACTGAATATTCAATCTTACTAAATTGTTTCAATGGCACCAACGCCAAGTGAACTACAAATAATTGACAAATGTTTTCTGATTTACTTGATGTTCTCATGGGACTCTTCCATTCTTGGTGCAATTGGAGCACAATGTAGTATTTTCTCCATTGTGTGTTGGAGACCAGCAGATTTCCAGTGTCCTTCAACAAGAGCTTTAGAGCACTAACCATCCCACCCTCAATGTGATGTAAGACTTTACGCCAAACAATGGTTCTTGTCTCTTTGGTGTAAGTTCTGTTGAACCAATGTTTTCAGCCCAATTTTTATTAGATCTTTCAACTTTGGTTGATCTTTTTTTTACGGTTCCCAACATTTTGCCAGTCTGCTGTGTTTTGCTGAAGACTCGAAGCTTGGGCAGAGATCTAAGCACATTTGAAAACTCGGACTTCAAGTATGACTTAGGACCATCGTTCCATGTGCATTGAAGTAAGTGGAATTGCAAATCTAGCTGTGATTAAAGTCTCACTTCCACAGTAGAGTAAACCTGATTTGTTACATGGATCGATCGATCGATTCAGTTTCATTAAAACCTGTTGTCATATTACTGTCTCTCCTTTGACCCTGGTCAATGATCATTTAACTAATTATGCTCTGCAAAGCTCATGGTCACAAGAGTGGTAACCAGTTTCAAGAACTACTTTCAAGAAATGACAGGGAGTCAATATTGTGCCACATGTGCGGGCATCCACTTTCTTAAGAAAATTAAACAGAAATTTTGAAGTGGGAAATAAAAAGTATTACCATCTCAAGATTCTTAGATGTTGTTGTGAAAGGCTTGTTTATATATAAACAGGAAAAGTGAAGGACACATTATTTTAACAAACATACTGTTTTATTTTAATGAAATGGTATTACACAAACAACTAAAATTAATAACACCTCTACTTTCTAACCCAGCAGCACAATGCCAAGTAGTGAGATTATTGCACCCGACATTCTTTCAACACGAACACACAATTGCATTAAACCATAACATTGAGTTACAACCAGTACCAAAGTGTACTCTTTGAAGCTGTATTGGGCCTTTCGCACTGCAGAGACCAGTACTATGAACAGATCCCAACATGGTAAATAAATTGCACTCATTTTAACACACTGCGGCTAATGAAATGAACAGAAATATAACAGAAGTGATACATGAGGACTGTCTCCCATATAAAAGTTACAACCAGCCCAACAAATAAAAAGGCATAAAGAACAGTGCGAATAGCCTTAGCATTTAAGCGATGATGGAAAAATGTCAAGATTGTCAAGGCTGCTGCTGATTGACATTAGAAGGCGGGACTGCTTGAATGTCACCTGAGATTGCATTTGAATATCACTGTGGTGAGCTGCCAATTTAAATACAGAAGCTTAAGACCGAATTTATAATTTAGCATAGTGAAAGCCAAAGGCGAATGATAAGATGAATTGTCACTGTAATTTAACATGCACATAAAATACTAAATATATCCAAAAGTCAGATACAAAACTGACAAAGTCTGTTCTAAAAATGCTATCTTACAAACATTTCAAAATAATCCTGAGTCAGAATGTAGCCCACCTGGAAACAAACCAAATGAACCCATGCTTATTCCTGTGAAGTTACTACTGTCGCTCAAACTCTGAGGGCAAACTTTCACAAAAAAAATCTTAAAAACGGTTGCATTACCGGTATGAAATTCAAGCTTCCCATTAATAGTCTTGTCATCTGATTTTTAAAAAAAATACCAAGCAAGGAGCTTTGAACTAAATGAAGACTACAGTTGCTAAACAAATAAACCATAGTTCAGAATAAACAATTTTATCTGAAATTGAGTGTCTTTGCCAGGAAAAATTGTCAACTCCCCTTGAATAATTAAAACAAAAGAGGTTATTACTAAATCTTTATCTGCCCCAAGTTCAACAGAGTCAGGAGGTCCTGGGCAGCAAGATAAGACAGAGAGACAAAAAAATTGACAATGTGACATGGGCACTCACCCAGCCAATGTTAAGAAACCATCTTTATGACTATCTCTGGCCACATCAGAACAATATGAAACCCCTCGATACACTGATATAATCCAATACATTTTGTACTTTGCTCTCTTATATCTCAAGTAAATAGTTGTGATCACTGTAATCAAATGCCACTAACACTTACATTCAAACAAAAGCTTAGCCAAATGGTTGGTTTGAATATTTAGATATGGACTACACGGAAACACATTATGCGGGGAAAATGTCACTGTGAAAGCAGCCCAAGCAAAGCCGTTGGAGACGAAGAAGCCTGAAGCAGTTCCGAAGTGTTGCCATCTCTTTTTGAACATGATCCAGACTACACGATCCAGCTCCAGAATGGTTCGATAGTCTTTGCAGAACCCTGAGAGAAGAAAAAGTTCCAAATAAAAATATAACCTAAAATCGAAAAAGAATCATATTATAGAAACAAGACAAGAATAAAGAAACAAACCATATGGCGAAGTTGTCAGGGTTATTGATGTGACGAGTGGGAGCAGACTTGGTGGAATCACAACACTGAAGCGAACAGATTCAGCACTCCCCTTGCAGCCACCTGCAATAAGAAACAGAATGAATCCATTCGATTGGTTATACTTGAAAACAGAAATTGTACGCTTCGAATGAATCTGAAGCAAATGTGGCAGCTTTTGACTTGCCACATAATATCTTTATGAATACATATTGAATGCTCATACGTATGATATTGCATGCAGGGGAAAATAAAGAAAACCTAACTATTTCTACATTGCCAGAACAGTGAAAAATTCACCATGAATGAACCTAACCTAAGATGGATATTTGTTTCAACGAAGTATCAGACTATTAAGCTGAACGATTGAAAGGCAGAACGGCAGAACGGCTGAACTAGCAACACGAACTCAACAAGGCGCAGTGGCAAAGTAGCTGCCGGCGACTCGTTCAAACGGCATTTTCGTTATCAATTATTAAAAACTTTCTTCCTTCACTTCGGCTGCTCGGGGTTGTTGTTGTTAGTTGCACAAGTGTCCGCCACAGAAACTAGAGCGCGCTGAGGGCGTTCCGTCCGCCGACGTAGTTCTACAAGCGGCCACTACAGAAAAGATAGAGCGCGCGGCGGACGCTACCTAAGAGGAGTGCGAAGGGTTGCCTACCTTGCAGGGCGCTGGAGGCTTTCCCGCAGCGCCGGCGCCTCGGCACGCATTGCGGAGTGGTTGGCGAACTGACGACGAATATCTCGGGATAGTGTGTCGGACCGGAGGTGTCTGTTCATGTAGTGCCGCCAGAGCTCAGTAAAAATGTCACCTGCAACAGACAGGTTGTGAAAAGCATCGCAGAAATGTCACGATAGGGGGGCGCGAATACGAACTGAAACGAACGAGTGGTTGTGGGGGAGAGGAGTAAATCCGTTTCAAAGTGTAGTCGAGTGCAGTCGAAAGCGAGAAAAAGTGGCGAGACTGTAAGCCGACGCTGCCTGACACGACCGAGTCGGAATGGTTGCCTACCTCGTTCGGCCCTGCCTACCTCTCGGGCGCTTTCGGGCGCGCAGCCTGATTTGCTTAGCAGCAAAGCAAGGGACGTAGGGGAGTCAACGGAACGAATGTCGAACGCCGATACCTACGAGTCGCTGGTGCGGTCGCTGGACTGGACACGCTCTGGGGATCAGACCAAGACTGCGACTGGCTCCAAATCCGGGGCCGCTCTCTGGACTTCCCTTCCGGCGCTACGGTCGATTCACACTGACAAGCTGGTGGCAAGTACCGGGCAGTGCACGCGCCGTCCTCTGAAACAGTATACAGGGTTCTGAAAGCATCGCGGTAAAACATCGAGTGCGAAGAAGCAGTGCGAAAGAGAAACAACGGTGCGAAGCCTCAGCGGGGCTGCAAGCAGGCAGGGCGATAAACCCAATTTCTCTTTGCACGGGATTCGAGCCGCGGACTGCAGAGTATGTTCATTCTACAGTCCGCGGCTCAGAGACCGTCCTTAGAGAGTAGCGGTGTACCCCATACCCAGGCTTCCCTCGCGGACCCGCAGCAGCAGTGCACCCAATGCACCCGGTGCATTGAGGGTGCATGCCACATGCAGACCCGACGTAAGGTTCAACGTCCTGTGTTCAGCACCACGGAAGGTGCATAGCGCAAAAAGCATAGTGGGCACACCGGATGCGGTTTACCTTAGCGGCTGCAGGGGCGGGTCGAATGCGTGCGAACTCAAACAGTCGTTTTGCCAGGGCGGAACTCACCTGCACTCCTGCTCCCACTGACGCACCGCGAGCCCCCGAGGCACAAGCAGCCCTCCGGTGCATCAGAAGGCTGTCTTGTAGCCCAGGGGCTTGAACGCGGATGCGCGGGGAGAGGAGTACCCGTACCCGTACCCAACCGCGATTACGAGACCATACGGACGAACCACAACTCCGAAGCGAGCCCATCCTGCACATACTGCAAGAAAAAGACCACAACAAAAGTACACAAATTCCTGGCAATTTTTTTTTAACAGGAAATTATTGTACTTTTAAAGAACAACAATTGTTGTACAAAGTACAATGGAACCGGCATGACGATTGCTGTGCAGTCCAGGCCTCGTGATTTGTACAATTCTCGTTTTACTTTCTACAATCTCCGTTGTACTTTTTTGCACAGTTTTTTTTTCTTGCAGTGCATGAGCAGCATTAAGCGCATCGCTCTCACCTGCTCCTGGTTCATTGATACGAAGATACACAAGGGAAGAGGTGAGCTGTATTAACAACACTATCATCCCGACACTGCAGCAATAAAGTGCGCATCGCGCAACGCACGCACGCACGCATGCATGCTGCAGGATCAGACCACAACACCTCGCCGCCAACGTGGTTGGCGATGACGCTCTGCTGCTCTAGCGCCAAAGCGCCGAGCTCATGTCGGGGCGAACTTGCGATGCGGTTGGACTTCCCCCATTCCTCCCGACAACGCCTTGCGCGGTCCGTGTGAAGGACAGGACGAGTCCGGCGGGGCGTCGCCTCTCTGCGGAAGCATAACTGGGACTTGTGTTTCTTACATCGCTCCTTAGGCGATGTGGTCAAGTTTTCTCTTCGCCTGGTACGGTCCATCGTATCGGGCATTCAAAACATCTTTTGAATCATCACTTCGACCCACCGAAGTGGAATCCACTTTGCCAGACACGATCCATCGTACGACCGAAGTCGGCGGGGTGACCACAGAGCAGGGCACCTGGTGCTGGGGCTGGGGATTGCGAGTGGCGCAGCACGCAATCGTCTGCCCTCCTCTGGCACGGCCTTAACGGCCACTTCGGCGTGCAGGCGTCGGTGCCTTCGGGCAGCGGGGCCACAGCACGTCGACCATGGCCTCGGCAAAGGAGTCTACTCTAGACCGTCCTTTACTGCGTGCTTTACATTAGCGAATGACGGAGGCGGAGTGCGTGTCACGTCTGTTGGTCAAGGGACTTCCCCCTGAATCCACGACGGCCACCCCCCACCTGTCTGCGGCCACGGCCACGGCGACCGGAGTGCCACTGCCGCCCGCGCGCGTTCGGGAGCGTGTCGCATTGGTTCCCTGCAACGACGTCGAAGACGCCATGGCCTCTGGACCACGTTCCTTGGCCGAGTCGGGGACCTTAAGGAGCTCAGCGCGGCCGCGCAGAGCGCTGTGCACCGCTCCGCAGCAACGCCGTGGATTCCAGCAGCGAGGGCTATAAGGCCCCTTCTGGACAACGGCTTCGTTCAGGTCCTGGAGCGCCGTGGGGCGAGGCGCGGTGGCCGCCTGCAGGCCGCCGATCACGCCGTCCTAGCTCACGGCCTCGCGGGCAACCGCTCCTAACCTAACCTGTGCGCTCTCCTGGGACGCGTAGAGGTAAATGTCGTGGAGGTGATTTCGCTGGAAATTTTTTAGAGGCAAAAACAGTTGGGGTGGTCAATGTACTGCAGGTTGCCTACCTCGCAGGGTATTGACCTGGGGCAGCCACTTTTTCCTACGTACAGGGGCAAAGTGCGACTTGTTGCCTACCTTTCAGGCCGGCTTCGCCGCCTTCATGAAGCCTCCCCCCCCCCAAACACGCCTGGGGAGCTTCGCCATGGTTCCTCTGCAGCGGGGCCTCGACGGCAACCCTAGGGGCGGCGAGAACGATGGTGACGAAAACGACTCTCGGAACCAGTCTGCTGCAGCAAGTCCCGCCGCCCCACCGCGGCGCGTCAGCGGTCCTCGGTTAGTGAGGCCTTCGCGAATGCGCGCTTCTCTAGGGAAATGGGTACTTCATCCGCTTCACAGGCACGCTCTTATTCCGGGTCTTCTATTGAATATTTTTATTAAATATTTTTATTGAATATTTTTATTGAATATATTAATTAAATATTTCTATTGAATATTTTTATTGAATATTTTTATTAAATATTTTTATTGAATATTTTTATTGAATATTTTTATTGAATATTTTTATTGAATATTTTTATTAATATCGGTAGAGGCATTTTTTAAAATGACTTTTTTTCTAGATATATACAGATTTATTGGTAGAGGCAATTTTGGTAGAGGCAATGAGCCACCCCCTCCATAAACACGAGAGATATTGTCAAAAAAACTCTAAAAGTTACCTTAGTGGACCGTCAAAAATTGACTATTTGACACCCATATTGCTCCCGTGCATTAAAATGTTGTCATAGTGTCTGTCTTAACTCTCTGGAACCATTTCGAGGTGAAGGTCAGCATTACAGGAGTTGAGGCACTACACAGCGAGAAATCGTAGGCCTCAACTCACGTAATGCTGACTTTCACCTCGAAATGGTTTCATAGAGTGACAACATTTTAATGCACGGTAGCAATATGGGTGTCAAATAATCAATTTTTGACGATCCACTAAGATAACTTTTAGAGTTTTTATGACAATATCTCTCGTGTTTATGGATTGTCGTCCCCAATAATTTGCTGGCAGTTAGAGTACCCCCCTAGGGCCCTTTGATACCAATATGGTCGAAAAGAAAGATGGCGTATTTTGGGAAATCAAAAAAACCTTATTTTTAGTGAAAAACGCCCTTTTAGGCAAAAACTGAGGGCCCCAACCTTGTTTCTCACTTAAATATGTTGCCATTTGCTGTTTTTCAACCCATTTGAGCGCCTAAAGACACAATTTTTAAAAAAACTAAAAAAAAAAAAAGTTGTGTATTTTTTTTTTTAAATTTCCAAAAATTGCCACGGTTGAAGTTCTGCATATTTTTAGGGGTTCCCAAGAACCCCTATTGTCCGAGGCCCGTGGATTCTTCCCCCCCCCCTCTCCGATTTTCAAATAAACAATTCTGAACCATTTCAACCATGAAAAAAACGAAAATTCCAATTTTTTACGAAAATTCATCGTGGAAATTTTCCGTAAACTAGAAAAACATAAATTTGCAACAATCGAAAACGAGAACCGTTAATGATATGAAAAAATGGTTCAAATAAAAAATGTGCCATTCCTCAAAACTAAACCTCCTGGCTCATCAAAATAACAAGAAATCGTCTGTGTTCTGAGCAAATGGTTAAAACATGGAAAAAAAATCTCCATGGCAACGGCATGGTCCCATCGTGCCACCCGTCAAAATTTAAAGTCGCCGATAAAGAGAAATCAAAACACCGTGAAATTCGAAAATGCTAATGCTAGCGCATTGCACGGTGTCCCGACGTTGGAACATCTTTAAGGGGGTAGTACACTTCGCAGGGTCAAAAAATCGCATTTATGGGACGTCTATTTGCGGACAGGGGAAGTGAGACACATTAAAATTGATGATAGGTCGTTATTATATTACTATTGAAGATCACAATTGTCAATTTTGAAGGTCCTCCGAGGTAGCTGCAGCGACTTTGGCCAATTTCCCCAAATCACTGCAACAAATACATAGTCCGTTGGTTAGCGTGATTGGGATCGAACGGTGCGACCTAGGGGGTCCAAACTCGGTATGGACCATCAATACACATGTAATTCTGGTGTGAACTACGGAAAAAAAGTTTGGGAAAAATTTAGTGTCCCAAACTACACTGCAAAAAAAAAGTACGAAAAAAGCCCCTTTTTTCGCCTAAATTCGGCCCCGAAAAAGGTAGTAGTTTTTGTTTAATCGTATTTTCCGTAGTTCACACCAAAATGACGTGTTTTTGACGTGTCCCTGCAAAATTTCATCGAAATCGGTTGAAAATTGCGCCTGGAATCGCGCAAACCAGTTTGAAAAATGGTGTTTCGAGATAATCGCGTTTAAAGTTTTAAGTGGGGGGAAATTCCCCCACTCCGCCACTTCCCGGGCGCGCTTAAAAATGGGATTTCGGCCGCGCCCCGACCCAGCTCCGGTCGGAACTTATAAAGTAAGGTACTAGGAACCCGAAAATGCAAAAAAAAAAAAATCGATTTTTTGAAAGTCGCGAAGTGTACTACCCCCTTAAAGTCTGTCACTAGTAAAAAGTTCGTGCAGAAACGGCGCATCAAATTAATTTTCGTGGGTTGGCACCGATTTTCTTGCCGTCTGCGCCCTTTCGAAAATCGCGAGGCTGAAAAAACGAGTAGGCGCGCATTGAAACTGCCCCTCCATTGTTGCTGAGGTTGGATTGTTTGGCATGCTTTTAAAGGCTGTGGTTGTCTTGTCATGTTTTCCTCAACTCTGTAGAACAGTTCTTACTCACAACGTGAAAACAGCACGATGGTTGGTTTGACAAACTTTATAACCTCGGGAGGGGTGATTTCGGAACGCGGGTGACTTTCGTTTGGCGAACATGAGCACTGTAAGTCGCAAGATGGAGTGAGGTAGTCATGGTGTTAACTGAATCAGGTTTGACCAGAACTCTTTTCTATTGGTTAGTTTGAATTAAGCGCATGCGCACTTTGAAATTTTTGGATTTTCTCATAATTATTGAATAGTTGGCACTGGCACGGTCGAATACATGACTATTTCAAAATAGCCAAATGTGAAAATGGGAACACCGTGCAATGCGATTAGCATTGGAATTTTTTTTTTTAAATTTACATGAGTGGTTGTTGAGTGGTAGGCTATGATAGAGAAAATTGGGAGCCGGATCTGAGCAAGTGCGTTTTGGACCATGATGGTTTGAGGTGGAATGCCCCCCACCTGTCAGTGGCGAGAGTCGAAATTCTCACCTCGTCAGCGGTGAGAATCGGAATTGTCGCCATAAATTGGCGAGAATGTTTTACCACAATACACTCTCATCCCAGGTACGTAAGTTAAATGGCGTTGAAACGTCGTTGTAGCATTGTGTCACATTTGTTTCGATGTGAATTGGCCAAAAATGAGCTTGTTCACGAACGTGACACCGTGCTCAAACGAACGTGACATTTTGACACGCTAGTTTCAACGTGATGTCACCTACTTGGAATCAGAGTGTAGGGTGGAAGAACAGTTCAAGCCAAAATTTGGTGAGAATTAAGATTATGGCCCGTTAAGGCCTCAAAACGGTACCGTGAAACGGGGTAACTTCGGACACTTTTGACAGGTTTTTTTGAAATTGTGAAAGTTGTGGTGCTGTCATGGACTTGAGGGTTAAAATTTATCATCTACCTACCTTTAGCTTCGGAAGTACGGAAAAGAGTGCGGAACGTCCGCACTCTAAATGTCTTACAAAGAAATTTGGCGTATGTTATTCGTATGTTACAATGAATTCGGCGCAAGCATAATACGAAGCAAAGCAATATTCCTTCGTATTACGAATCTTTTTAGCTTTCTCATTGTATGGTACAAAGAAAAACCTTCGCAATACGAAGAAAAACCACCTTCGTATTATGCTTGCGCCAATTCCTTCGTAATATGGGAAATTTCTTCGTAAGACATTTAGAGTGCGTACTTGTCCCATAAGATCTCCCGTACTTGGGTACGGAAAAATAGTACAGAAGTTCCGTAGTGGGTCAGGTACGGACGGTCCAGGCAAACTATTGACCAGACATGTTCCGTTCTTTTTTCTCGCAATGTCAGGATAGAAGTCACTGTATTCCCTTTTCCCGCTTCCTAGATCAACTCTACTTACGGGTCCGACTTTCGTTGCTTGCTGCTCGAAGGCGCCTCGCTCCCCGCCGCATTGCTGCTGCCACCGGCCCGCTTGCCTCGTCCAGACATGTCGCGTCGCTCTCCGGGAACGGCACGTGAAGCCTGCAGGACAAGTGAAAGATGTAAGAATAATCACCGGCAAAAAAAAAGTTACTGGGTTTCATGAGTGAAATCATCACGGCAAAAAAGGTTCCCGAGTTTCGTACAGTGAAGACATGAGCGATTATCGGGGAGTTCCTGCACTGTAGAAAATTCCGTTACTTTTGCACGAAAATTGTACAGAAAAATATAGTACGGAGGTACGGGGAAAAGTACGGAACGTTCCGTACTTGCTCCATATGAACCCATGTAAATAGGTACGGAAAAAAGTACGGAACGTTCCGTAGTTGGCAAGTACGGACGGTCCAGGCAAATTATTGACAAGACATGTTCCGTACTTTTTTCTCGTGGGAAAACCCACACTCAGATTCCAAACGCCAGGAGTATAGCACGTATGGTGCAATGCAGCTGAGATATCGCACCATACGTGCAATGCCACAGCCATATTGCACCTTACGAGCCATGCGTCCCAAAATTGCCATATGCTAATGCATGGGAATGGGAAGGCATTGCACTTCATGAAGCATTGCACCAATTGACGCTATATATAGCGAATACGGGTCAAAATCACCTCGGCGGCTGCGGCTTCCTCGCCTCTTACCTGCTGCGGCGGCGACGGCGGCGGTGGGGCCGGCGGCGAGGGCGGCGGTGGTGTTGGGGCCGGCGGCGAGGGCGGCGGTGGTGTTGGGGCCGGCGGCGAGGGCGGTGGTGGTGGTGGGGCCCGCGGCGGTTGGGGCGGGGGAGCGCGCCGCGCCTTCTGTGGCGGGAGGCAGAGGATTTTAGATTCAGTCGAAGTTCTTCCGATTCGTGCCGGTCGGGAAACACACACTTAAAAAAATGTGCCGGAAGCCTTTTTTTTGGGCCACCCAAGGGGGGGGATACCTCGGGGCCCGGGGGGCC